AAATTTAGTTATTTATTAAAAAAAATAGGCTTTTAAAACCTTGAAAAAACTGCATCCGGCCAATAAAGCGCCATATCTTCCATAATACTTCATCAAATGGAATGATTGGAACAACATTTGGAAGGAAAGCTTCACTGCTTGAGGTAGAAATAAAAACCCCGCCACCCTCTTAAAATTTTTCACTTAAATATATACTGACTAAAATATTACAACGCATTCAGGGAATGAAAGCTAAACTAAATGCGCTCTTAACAAGAAGTAATAATTTTGAAGAGGGTTGCCCACTATTTAAAAACGTATTACGCCATGACTCTAGAACGAGTTGTCCGATTTAAGTAGAAACCCCTTTTTAGTAGTGTTTATCTTTTCCCATTGGAGTGCAATGGGGTATAGTTGTTGCACTGGGTATGCAGTTACAGCTGCATGGCAATACTCAATCCCAACTCTTGCGTTCTCGTTCGCACACTCTGGGCAACGTGAGCAACCCATGTGCAAGATGCGGTAACTAAACCGAGTGGAGCCTTGGGTCACGGCAGAAGGAGAGGGAGCTTCGGTGGGACCACTCCGACTTATTCGGTTTAAGGCCTCACTGAAGTCTGTTCACCAGTAGATGCGGCTGCAAGCGGGTGTCTGCTTGGAGCAAGCGGCTCGCTATATAAACGTGTATTTGGTTGCGAAACCACAGCCGTCCCAGCAATGGGTTGTGCGCTGGGCATGGGACCCGCCACGTAAAACCCACTTCCAGTGAAGAAGCGAAACAATGCCTCGGATGAGACCCCCCTTATAATGACGACCACGGCAAAAGTTTAAAGGACTACCATTTGAGGACATATACCTGGAAAGTCCGGACCTTAATGGGGAAGGTGCCTCTGCCCGGCTGGCTGATGTCCTCGTAAGGACAAAAGCTGAAAGTCACCGCCTTCCAAGAAATGCGTTGGACGGGGCAAGGCAAGCAATGTCTGGGGCCTTGCGACGTCTACTACAGCTGCCATGTAAAGGAGCGCAAATTCGGAGTTGGATTTGTAGTGGGAGAGAGACTTCGTCGTCGAATACTGTCGTTCGCCCCGGTGGAAGATCGTCTAGCTACAATCCGCATCAAAGCGAGATTCTATAACATCTCGCTCATCAGCGCTCATGCCCCGACGGAAGAGAAAGATGACGCATCCAAAGATCTCGTCTATGAATGCTTTTAGCGCACGTACGAGCGCTGCCTCCATCATGAGGAAGGGATCTTTAGAACCACCGTTGGAAAATTCACCCTCCACGACGAAACGTCCGACAACAGATTGAGGCTAGTCCACTTCTCTGGGGCCCGAAACATGATAGTATGCAGTACTAGGTTTCGCTACTCGACTCTTACACCTGCCGCCTGAAGGGCCACGCTGCGATTGGGCGCAACGCGCGCTTTGCTTTGGGGCTGCTATAGAGAGCTGAAGAGGGAAGCGAGACGTATTTGCCGCACTAAGAAGAGAGAGGCCGAAATACGTGAGTACGATGAGCCTGAAATGCTCGCCGACAGGAAGAATGCCCGAAAATTTAATCAAGGAGTTAGTGACTTACGGAAGGGTTTAAGACCAGGGCAAATTCTTGTAAGAATAACACTAGCGACCAAGTGACTGATGTCTAGAACGTAGTTAAATTATGGAGAGAACAATTTTCCATCCTACTGAATGGTAAGAGCATTGAAAGCTCTGGAGAAGACGAACCCGAGCCCCCAGTTGACGATGATGGAGTCAATGTACCACCACCTGACTATGGCTAGGTACGAAAAGCAATAGCGCGCTTGAAAAACAACAAAGCTGCTGGAACTGACAGCCTGCCAGCTGAGCTATTCAAGTAAGGCGGCGAGGAGTTAATAAGGTGCATGCATCAACTCTTATGCAAAATATGGTCAGATGAACGCATGCCCGACGACTGGAATTTAAGTGTGCTCTGCCCAACTACCGTGGGATCAGCTTTCTACGTATAGGTTTCAAGGTCTTATCGAGCGTATTGTGTAAAAGACTGAAGCCCACCGTCAATGAACTGATTGGGCCTTATAATTGTGGCTTTAGACCGGGAAAATCCACCATAGATCAGATATTCACAATACGCCTAATCTTGGAAAAGACCCGCGCGAAAAGGATCCACACTCACCACCTATTTGTCGCCGCTTTCGACAGCACTAAAAGGAGTTGCCTATATGCCGCTTTGTCTGAATTTGGTATCCCCTCAAAACTCACGGCTGTGTAAAATGACCACTAGCTCCGTCAGAATTGGGAAAGACCTCTCCGAGCCGTTCGCCATCAAACGGGGTTTCAGACAGGGCGACTCCCTTTCATGTGAATTCTTTAATCTAATGTGGAGAAGATAATAAGAGCTGCAGAACTGAACCGCTTAGGAACAAGTTACTACAAGAGCGTGCAATTGCTGGCTTATGCCGATGACATCGACATCATCGGTAACAAAAATCGCGAAGTCTGTTCTGCCCTTTCCCAAGTTGGATAAGGAAGCAAAGCGAATGGGTCTGGTGGTAAGGGAGGACAAGACGAAGTATCTCCTGTCATCAAACAAACAGCACATTCACGCCTTGGCACCCACGTCACTGTTCACAGTTACAATTTCGAGAAAGTAGAGAATTTCGTTTACTTGGGAACCAGCATTAACACCGATAATAATGTCAGCATGGAAATCCAACGCAGGATCACTCTTAACCAACAAGTGCTACTTTGGACTGAGTAGGCAATTCAGGAGTAAAGTCCTCTCTCGACGTACGAAAACCAAACTCTATCAGTCACTCATCATGCCCGTGCTGGTATATGGCGCAGAAGCATGGACAATGACAACATCCGATGAGGCGGCTCTTGGAGTATTCGAGAGAAAGATTTTGCGGAAGATTTACGGGCCGTCACGCGTTGGCGGCAGCGAGTACCGCAGGCGATGGAACGATTAGCTCTATGAGCTTTACAACGACATGGACATAATGCAGGGAATTAAAATACAACGGCTCCGCTGGCTTGGCCATGTCGTTCGAATGGGCACCGAGGCTCCAGCTCTGAAAGTATTCAACTCGGAACCCGCTGGTGGTAGCAGAGGAAGAGGGAGGCCCCCACTGCGATGGAAAGATCAGGTGAAGAAGGACTTGGCTTCACTTGGCGTTTCTAATTAGCGTCAGTTGGCACAGAAGAGAAGCGACTGGCGTGCTTTGCTGAACTCGGCCAAAATCGCTTAGGCGATTACAGCGCCAAATAAGAAGAAGAAGTATTTTCCCAGGGAAATATTTTACGGAGAGAAAACCCTGATAGGTGGCGCTGGGATTGACTTGTTACTAAAAATCGTATTTCTAATCCGATTTCGGTCATATTTTATATGTGTGTTGGTAAGAGGAAGGAAAATATCTTTGCAAAAAAATGTATGCTAGGGAGCGCTGTAGTCGAGTTGTCTTTACTAATATATAAGTATTTTGAAAGCCATTTTTTCTATACGCAAAGGACGAGAGCGACTGTACCGATTTTTTTGAAATTTCAGACACCAACTGTAGAATTTCCAAGGATGGTTATAGGCTAAAAAAAACTCGAACATGGTATGAAGATATATGAAAGCAATGACATACTCATGGAGAGAAGTGGGACTATTTAAAAATGGGGTGTTGCGTGTGTTTCGAGGGGGTCCCTGAATAGTTTATGTTCACTATTTGACCCGCCAGGTGGAGCTGTAGTCGGGTTATTACTAAAAATTGTATGCATGATCCGATTTGGATTATATTCGAAACATGTATTGGTATCGTAAAGGAAAATATTGCCGTGAAAAAATGTACCCGCAAAGTGGTTCAGGAGTCGAGTTGTTACTATAAATTCGTATTTATGATTGGCTCATATTCGGGACATGTGTTGGTAACGGTAAGGGCAATATTACTAAAAACGTCCAGTGAGAGGAAGTCTCGTGAATGTCCGATTACGTCGACCTGCTGCACCACTGATATTGTCGAACTCCTGCGTTTTCCCGAATGGCTCAATGGATATGATTTACCAATATTACTCCGCGTTCGAAGACACTAGGATTGAGTTTTCCAGAGGTCAATCTCAAATGACCTCCGTTAAAACAACCACCAGAACTATTGCGCTCCTTGATAAGACATTTAAGGTATTTCTGCTAAAATAAATATAATAATGTATACTGGATTTCTGTGAAACAACGATACTCAGCCATTTTGAAATTCCTGCGAGTTATACTATACAGTTTGAAGGAGAGAAATAAAAAGTTCAAAATAATTGATATCAAGCACCCCCGTTTTTACTTTCCGGTAAAAATAATCCTATTTTAGGTTAGCTTTAAAAGTTTAAGAGAAATAGGAAATACATTTCCTTTACATTTTACATTTACATTTTCCCACTGGGTATATATCCTCTTCTCAGATCATATTCAATCTTTGAAATCGAATCAAAAATAGTCATTCAAAAACTCATAAATCTACAAAATCGTATTTTCTGACCTAAATCGACAAACCTAGTTTGTAAAACGTTTGTTGGTATAGATCTTAATGAAAATGCACACCAAATTGCTCAAATTGATGAGAAAACTCGACTTAGCCATACCGGATTTACTTGGTTTGTGTGCACAGGAAAATTCCAGCATAAATATTTTAGGTTAGCTTTAAAAGTTTAAGAGAAATAGGAAATTCCCTAACTTTATTTAATTAAACGAAATCTGTATTTCTATAGATTATTTTTTGCTTTTTATTTCACATTTTAATGAAAGCTAGTTTTTATTTTTTTTTTTTACCTATAATTTTGAATACTGATTTTCGCTTAGGGCAGAACTGCGTTCAAGTATTTGAATGAGGAACTAGTGGATCCTAATGAAAATACATACGTATGTAGGTATCGGAATAATATTTCTGGGGTTGTATAAATTTTAAAGTCACTTTTGATATTACAAACACTAACAAATATTATAATATCCTTTAATGTTCGACGTATGTAATTTAAAATATTATTACCTCTCTCTGTAAATCTACTCACCTCAATCGGATGTTTATGTAGTTCAGTTATCTCGTCTAAATGTATACGCCAATGCAGCAGCACTTATCAGTCGTAAACGAAAATTCAAACCGAATATGTAAAGCAGACGCTCAAATTTTCAATCGATGTACTGGATTTAATGCAACTGATTAAACTCCTTTCATAAATGACCAATGGTGTCTGTAGCGTTTTGAGTGCCAATAATATAGTTAGTTGTTGTTTCAAATCTAATGATTTCCGTTTGCATAAGTTATTAAACATAAAATAAATTTGTAATTTCTTCAGTTTCGCCTTCAAACTGCGATCCTTCGCCAGAGCGACGATCACGTATTTGGTATGACAATTTTTGAATGCGTAAGTGGGATCTTTCGAATTTATTTCACTTTGATACGGTTGCACTTTCATAACTCTGACCATACAAGGGCGCAGACAAAATCACTTTACACTCTCAAATATTTGAGCCAAATAATGAAATATTCTTAATAAATAAATATGTGTTAAAAAAACGCAATGTTTCCTACGCAAATAAGAATTTCGCATTTAAGGCTATAAGGTCTCAACTATTTTCATGACAATTCGGGCGGACTTTATTTTGCGAATTTACATATTTCGTCCAATGACGTTGACCAGGCACCTTGAATACAAAATAATAAATTTTCCGCGATCGCTGTTTTTTTCACAACTCAGAATTTTTGGGTTTTGAGCAATGTGTACATACAAATGTTTGTATGTGAGCATGTATTTTGCTTTGCTACGACCTTAGCGATTTTTCATCTGAGGTAATTTCTTTTATTTTTTAAACAAAAATAGCCACTTTTATGGTGTCTCCACGACGTATGCTCTTTACTATACATAAACACGATTCAGTCTGTGGTATGCACATAATTCCATACAGATGTACACGTACTAAGTTGGTTTAGCTGGACCAGCTCACTTGTGCGTGTGTTCGACGATTTTCTTCTTCTGCGGTTCAGTGATCTATAAAAGCTATCGTTGGTCCCGTTATATTGCGCGACCCACTAATCTGTTGCAAAAACTCGGAACGACTGACCATTTACTCATTGATTTGGTGGATTTATGCTCTTCATGCAGTCAGTTAAGTTTTCCATTTCTAGCTCTGAGTTGCTTTCGCGCTCGTTAGTTGGTTTGCCTCAGCTAGTCGTCAACAGTGTTGCCAGTTTTCCGTTAGCAAACAGCCAGAGAAAATTCGGTTTAGCCGGCAACCGATTTGTTAGCCGCTTTGGAAAAAAAATTTGCCGTTTTAGTTGATTTTACTATTTGGCTTATTTTCTTGAAATTTAAATATATAGCTTTCCATTTTTACAAATTTAGCGACTCAAAATCTATTAGAAATGGCTAAATCGGAGAAAATTTTTATGTCGAAGTGTGTTACAAATAAAATTTTTTCTAATCCGAAAAGTCTTAAAATACTGGGCCGATTTCAATGATTTTTATTTTAAAAATATACAGTGTCCCAAATATAAACTATGCGACATTGTAGCAAGTTTTTGTAATTTTTCTTAGTTTATTTGATGTTTATTATATTTTTATGAAAGCACAGCTGATTACTTAACAAAAACCATTTAAATCCGAATTTCATGCCGAATTTTTCATAAAATTTTTGTTATGAATGTCTTAAATTTAAGCATGAAGTTTTATTCGCAAAAACGGATGAGAATAAAAGAGCACGAATTTCGATGTGAAGCAAAACTCTCTGGGAAGATAATACATATCAATAATTGTATAATGGTGCTAACATCCTTTATTATTGCTCTCTGGCAGGCATGTGCAAACACTGAGCAGGTCTTTATAGCCGGGAATGCTTCGAATATATGGACATCAAAATTAAATTAAATTGTTTAACTGTTAAAGGTTAAAAAAGCGACCGGCTTGTTCAATATAAATAACCGGCTTTTTCACGAAATAATGTATCCCTATTTTCCTCAGCCCTTTCAAAGCTTTACGAGTGCAATAGCTTCTACTTATATAGCCATTTTGCATTAGTGCAAATGTTACAAAGTAAGAAGGCAAATTTTTTCAGTAGAGAGGAATGTGCCATACGTTTGTCATTGATCTATTTTTTATATTTAAGTAATACAAACTTTACTTCTGATTTAGAGCTTAGCTAAGAATAACGACAGTTTCCTTTGTGAAACAAAAATAATTTGTAATTAATTTACCAATTTATGTTTTTGTGATTTATTTAACGACTAACCTAAAGCTGAACTACGTATAGCTTTAAAAAAATAATAATTGAATGAATTTACGAGTCTTTCTACCTTTAATTTTTTTAAATAAAACATGTTAATTTTAGTTGTAACATGTTAGTCGTTTTTTGCCAATTTAGCCGGTCGGCCCAAAAAGTTGGGGCAACACTGGTCGTCAAGTCAATGTAGTAGCTACATACTTAAACCTCAGTTAGTCTAGACTTAATTTCCGTAACTTAACTTAACTTAATATTATGGCTAACCTGTTATATGAGAAACTGTGCTGGCGGTTAGTTAAAACTTAACTTACCGTAAGAAATTTAAGAACCTGTAAATTTTAGGTTCTTAAGTTACGCCCTTGCGGAAATTGAGAGCGGTGAGAGAATCAGGCTTGCCAGATAGTCGTTTTTAACCGACTTCCAAAAAAGGAGGAGGTTATCAGTTCCTCGGAATAATTTTTTTTTTTTTTTTATGTATGTTACCGCATTACTTTGGACCACGTCAACCGATTTCGATAATTCTTTTTGCAGCGGAAAGGTAGTGTCTCAGAGGTGGTCCCATACTAATCTGGTTGAGATCCGACCTGGTCTACGGAAAGGGGGCTTAGGTGTCAAAAAATCAATTTTCACTTTTTGGTTGATTCGGATGGAAGATGAGATGCTTTTTAAAGTGGTGAAAAGCAGAAAATCCTAACTTGCTTAGAAGCATACTAAAAATGTAGAGAAAGAAGAGTAAAAATACGACAAAATATAATTTATTTATATATTATTTATATTTATAATATTCCGACCAACAACAACACTTACTGGACCAACAACAACACTTACTGGACGTCCGGCGCGGAGAACAATTAACGAGATAATGAGAAACTGACGAAACGAGTTGCTTACTTTTAACAGCTTTTTCACAGAAAACTAGTTTTCGCACGTAAGCTCCCTTTTCGTAGACCAGGTCACATATATATTTTTTTATATGGGAGTTGAAGTCGGTTTTTTTTATGCTAAAAATTACTTGTTATATTTCTTAAAATTAAATGAAAGCAAACATTTTTGTTTGCATGAAATTTTTTGTTGTGGCATTCTATGCGGCGAACTGTTAAACAGCTAACGAAGAAAATACAAAAACAAAATATTTCCGCTCTTGGCTTAGGTTTAGGTGTTGAGTAATGATCGATGATTTCTTACGCTAAGTTAAATTAAGTTAAGTCTAGACTAACTGAGCTTTTAAGTACATATGTATGTACATAATTAAAGTTGCTGACGCTTATGCTCTGTTGCTGCTCTCTCGAATCTATCGCGGCGAATTCATTCGGCATACTAAATAGGAGATATGAATGTATGTACATATGTATATATATACATTAGGGTGCCTATCGAAAATGATTTTTTTTGGAAGTTTCCAGACCCTACCCCATAATTGTATTCGTTTTTATGAGAAATATTATTGCCTATTTTTATAGATTTTTTAAAGGCCGCGACCTGTCGATTTAGGTCAGAAAACAAGATTTATGAGTTTTTGAATGACTAATTTTGATTTGATTTCAAAGATCGAATATGATCTGAGAAGAGGATATATAGGCCTTAAAAATGGTATATAATAATAATAATCTATTGTCGGAATAGGCTTGTTGGAATTTTTTATCGAGTAAATTAAAAAAGACCCATATTTCTCTTAATTTTTTTAAATTTTGACCCTCGATTATTTCTACAATTTCAAAATATGAAGTACTATCTAAAACTAAGTCTATTTTCATACAAACTGATACCTCGTTTATTACAATCGCATAAAAATTGTCGAATTTAGGCCACTTTTCTTAAATACGGCCTTGAATTTATTTGAGTGTATGTACCCGAATTTCAAATTTTTTGAGCAGTGTGGCATCAATATTTATTCAAAATTGATATATATATATAATCGCTCTTTAGCAAAAAAGTGGTAATTTTAGGGAAATGAGGGTTGCACCGCCCACTTATATGATATATGCGTATCTCGAAAACTACTTGGCCGATCTCGACAAAATTTGTTATACGCATTGTGTTTGGCCTCGTTAAGTACCGTCTTGAATGTCTTGAATATTTTTGAAATCGAAAAAAACCTACTCCTCCTAAAATATAGATAGCTTGTAGCTTTTTGAAATTATCGTTACGTTGGTTTAGCCCGCGGTTTTTCAAGATTAGTTTTTGAGATACACATACATATATGATATAAGAGGGCGGTCCCAATTTTCCTAAAATTTCTTGAAAAACCACTTTTTACATACGGTACATCACACAAATAAATTCAAGGCCGTATTTAAGAAAACTCGCCTTACTTCGACAATTTTTATTTAAAAATAGATTTCATTTTTGATAGTACCACATATTTTAAAATTGTGGAAATTATCGATGGTCAAAATTTTAAAAATTAAGAGAAATATGTTTTTTTTTTTAATTCACCTTATAAAAAATCCCAACAAGCCAAGTCGGACAATAAACTATTATATACCAATTAGGGTCAAATTCACAGTGCGTAGTTAACCACTGACAAGAGTTTAGCTATCGATTTTGGTATTCATCATGCTCAGTTAACAAAAGTTTAAACCAGCATACCCCCATAATTAAACTCTTGTGAAATAATTTTTTTTTGTGGAACGAAATTTAGATTTGTATAGAAAAATATTAGTTTTAAGAATTTTTATATTTTCAGGCGATATGAAATTCTATAGATTACTATGTGACTCTGAATATAAATTCTTAGTTAAACTGTTGTTAGTGGTTTAGTTAACAATGGTTTAACTAAGCACTGTGAATTCGGCCCTTAAAGGCCTACCCAGTCGGAAAAGTAGTAATACACTACAAGCGTGATAATTAATATAATGTATTTCTTTTGCGTTCTCGATAATATTACGGCCAACTTTGTAATCAGCATTTTAATGTATTCAAAAAGCTCCAAAAATTTCATATTAAAACACATACATTTCTCGATACTAGGTAATGCAAAATTGAATGCCCCACTTTTCTTGGGACATCGCCCTGGGGAAAAAAATACATTTTCGAATGTGCAAAGGGTTGTTTTACTTATTATTTTTTTCGATTACTATACATTACATTTTCCCACTGGGTATATATCCTCTTCTCAGATCATATTCAATCTTTGAAATCGAATCAAAAATAGTCATTCAAAAACTCATAAATCTACAAAATCGTATTTTCTGACCTAAATCGACAAACCTATTTAGTTTGTAAAACGTTTGTTGGTATAGATCTTAATGAAAATGCACACCAAATTGCTCAAATTGATGAGAAAACTCGAGTTAGCGATACCGGATTTACTTGGTTTGTGTGCACAGGAACATTCCAGCATAAATTAATCAACTTCAACAATTTTTATTGAGCTTGAGGCCGTTTTTTGATGAAATCTTATTGTGGAAAAGCAACAATAACTTGAAAAATGGTAGAAGTGATAGCTAATTCGCAAATCACCACATTTCCTCATCAGACTTCTTTCAGTAGGATTCGAACCGATGAACCAGTTGCCTACTATTTCACTTGGTAAGCCAACTACAATCAAGCGAAACAATTCACTTGATCATGTGGTTGTTGGTTTTGTTTGTTTTTGTTAATATTTCTATTATTAGAATGTTTAACTTTTAGGTGTTTTTTTTCTGGGATGACGCCCGTGAAGAGGGAACTCTCATGAGTACTACTATACCGGCATAGTAGTATGCACGACTTGCAGCCTCACAGCTACACCTACGTACTAAAACCTCTCCACTAACCACTCTCCCCGCGGCACTGCCATTTAAGGTATTACCTCACGGGGCTGGTTGTCCAGCAGGATCACAACTTTTAGGTGTGATCTGCACAGTGCGTAGGCAACTGGCT